AGCAGACAGTCCACCGTGGGAATTAAATTGAGTACATTTGGGAAAATCCAATAATCCACATCCTAATGTAAATGCAGAGTCATTTACTCAACACTTTTCAGGAATAAAAGCATAAGGTACTCTACATTAGAGACTCTCTCTCTTACCCTCTCTTGCCGTATTTCTTCTGTCTGCTTCTGTACACAGTTACCTCTCAGTATTCTACACTAGGGAGGCTGCTAAGGATAACCAACACCTAAGCAGTGAATTTTAAAACAATGTATTCAACTGATATAAATTAGGGGGGTTTTTGCTTCCTAATTCAGTTTGACTTAGATTAAAACTATTATTAATCTCCATTTCCTAATATACAAGCACAGGTAAGAATGGAAAAGTGGTTAAAATATTTAAAACTAACCTCAGATTACCTACACACTGACAATCAATGGTGCATTATTCTAAGAAAAATGAGGAAAAAAAAAAAAAAAACCCAACAACTTAGTTTTTAATGCTCTTCTGAGAAGCGTACCTGAAGGCTGACTTACCCTATATGCCCTACAATAAAGCAGTTGTATTTTGACTATTCAGTTCCAAACATCCTAAGTATTCCTACCTATGAAATACTTAACTGCTTTTTCTTCAAATTGAGCTTCATTCTGATTTTTCACTGCAGTCTGACTAGAATCTTCCCAAGATGCAAGTTTAAACTGTAGCTTCGGCTGTTTAAGAGAAATGTGAGTTATAAAAAACAGAGCTGGAAACCTCTATTATCTTAAAATAATTGAAAGTGCTACATATAGAAATAACTTTTAAAATAACACTAATGAGACTATAATAATTTCAAACTAATTTTTAAATTTCTGCACTTAGAGAAAATAGTATCATGTAGAACCCTTAATGGTCCCCCAAATAATTCCTTACCTAACTTAAAGTCGCGAATTTTAGGAAAATCATCACTTGAAACTTAAAATGTTTTATTCTTCAGGATTATAAATAAAGCATAGTGATTTAGTTAAAAGTGTACTCAGTTGTCTTGCTTTCAAAATCATCCCTGGAAGTAAATGATCCTAAATTCCAAAGCCTAAGAAATGAAGGAATACAGAAGACTGGAGTTTGTCAATAGTCATACCTGGGCAGTTTTAGCCAGTTAGGAAAGCCACTCTTAGCACCCACTACCTTACCTGTAGATAATAGAGTGCTGATGCAATGCTATTGTAGGAGCTCAGAAAGGTCTAATTACTTAAAATTGTACTTTCCTTCCATTTACCAAATTATTTAAAATTCTACCAACAGAAATTTATTCTTTGAGGGAGAACTCCAAAATTTATTCTTGAACCCCCCCATGCCAGTTCATCCTTTAAGAGGCAAACATTTTTGAGATAGATAACCATTAAACTAGCAAAGTAGGAACACAGTGGGACAAATCTAGCCAGCTACCTGTTTTTACAGACACACAAGTTAAAAATGGTCTTTACATTGTTTCTTGGTTGAAAAAAAACAAAGTAAGAATATTTCACGATGTGAAAATTATATAAAATCCAAATTTCAAAATCCATAAATCAAGTTTTATTGGAACACAGCCTGATCATTCCCTATGTATTGTCTATGGCTGCTCTCATGCTATAATGCAGAGTTAAGTTGTTGCAAGACAGCTTAAGTCCTGCAAAAATGAAAATATTTAGATGTGGCCCTTTAGGAAGTGTGGTGACCCTTGTTCTAAGGTGTTGATATCCTATAAGTATATTACTTCCTGCCTCACAGAAGACACCCTGTAGAAAACCCTGTAGATTACTGAAAGGAGAGGATAAAGTGACACACACTGAGCCAGGACAAGAAAAGATAATAGGAACCACACAATTTTTACCCAACTTTTACATTTTAAAACAAAATTTAAAAGTTGAGTATGCATAAATACATACAGGTACACCCAGAATATAAACCATTCCTCAGGCAATAGAAGTTTCTTCCTTTTGTCCTTTATTCCTTTTATCCATCATTCTTTTTTCCTTCAAATGTCTTTCTTTCCTTCCTTGTTTTCTTTCTCCTCCCTCCTTTCCACTCATTTATTCACTTAATTAATTCATCC